GGAGATCAGATGAATGTTACTATGTGAATATGTATCTTAATTTCGTGTTTATGGAATAAACATAGATTAGCTCGTATATATGTCCATGTCTTTAACGAAAATGGTGAAAAGGACCAATCGGTGGTTATGGCTTTACTAGCAACTTTAACGGTCAGTCATTTTCTTTGAAAATTTTGTCTCTAACCCAAAACATTTGGTTCACTATTTAGGTGATGAATTGGAATACTGTTTATTCACGTTTTCAAAACGTGATTTTAGTACTCAGTAATAATTATGTAATTTTCACGTTTTGCAATTTAAAAAAGTGATTCGTCACATTAGTTAGTATAACATATATATACTCATTTTCAAAGTAAAATCAATCATGGTGAGTTTACCTCTTTCTTTGCTTTTCTTGTAGACCACAAAATTAAGGGACTAAATTTGCCTTACGCTTTCAAATCTATAAGATTTTAAGGTAATTAGGAAAATAACAAAATCCTTAGCCAAACCACCTACTATTTTTCAAAGGAATCCCAAATCTTTTGTCATTTTCCTAATTTTCCTATAGTTTGTTGTGATCTAGCAAATTAACTCTTTCTTTTTTATATATAAATTAATTTATTTCGCTACTGTGTTTCCTTAGATATTTTTGCCAAATAAATTTAGATTTCGCTACCTCTAATAGTCCCCTAGGCCCCCTTTAACCTTTATATGAAAAGTATATACAAGCTTCTTTTAACTTTAATTTGTTGAGGTTGTATATCGATTACTATAATTTGGACTCTTTTGACCACTGCGATAATTAATTCGCACCTTTCATGTATTCAAAACAAATGTATATTTGAGTTTATGATATATATAAATTAAGAGAGCTCTAAATTCTAATGCAGAACATATGATACATTCCGGTTAAGTTGCATCAAACGTCGAAATCCGAAGCATGAAATTAGTTGGTCAAGGAAAATTGATAAACATGTATTTTAAACCAAAAAGGTATTAAAGTTTATGTAAATAAATGAATAAAAAGTGAGGGTACGATATATTGTATGTGTGGCAAAGCTGACCACTAAGTCGTTAAGGGTATATAATTAGAAGCTGAGTATACATTCCACTTTCCGCCAAAGAATCACATTCTTTTCACCAATTACATTACACCAACCCTTTGCTCCCTCAAAATTGTTATAGATTATAAAACTTGAGATATATCAGTTTAGTACTAGTGGAGCATTTGAATAAGCTTCGGTTTAAAATATATTTAGCAAAATTTGTCTTGTGTTACAATTAATTTTAATAAAGAACTAAAATATACGAAAGATTTGTTTTTTCTTTTATATCAGAAGATAAGATGGTTGCTAATATATGATGCTAAGAGAGGAAAATATTGATGACTTTTAATTTTATTTAATAACTTTTAATTTTCTAATCAAAACATTGAGAATAAAAGGAAAGATATTCTGAAGTATTTAACTTTCCGACCATGGCCAAAAGCTTCTCTCACTTTTAAATCACGAACAGTACGTAATATTAAGCCATGTCCATTATTTATTTATTTTATTGAGTAATAGTGAATACTATATGAGAATCAAAGCCCTATTTGTTTTCCATGCGTGAATAAAAGTTAAAACCCTAAGATACTACGTACTTAATGTAGGTCGGTTTGGAATAGATAAAATTCCACCACATATATGGTATTCAAATTGGTGAATATATGTTTTCTTGTAGCATATGAAAGTGGCATCACAGAATTCGATTTGTTTCTTTTTTCGTGGGTCCATTTTGATGTCGGTTGAATAAAACCCAATAAAAGGTTTATAGTCGTAT